CCGACGGTGGCGACGCTGATAAAATGAGTGATGGCAATGTTGGATATGGAAGAGTTATCGGATGTGTAAGGTGGGTTGGGCGCGTCTTTACTGCGGTAAATTCCGCTGTCGTGGATACGCATGTGGTCGAATAAGCCCATGCGGTGACTGAATGTACGTGGACAATGCTGGCAGTTAAGACGGGCACGATGAGTGTATGTCGGGGCTCCTTAAACTGGCTTGTAGGTCTCAATGCAATGGATTCGCAAGTGACCGACCGGGCCGATGTGTGATATGAGGGTGCAATCACAATGAACTAGCGAGATGCCTACATGCCGGCAGAGGAGATTAAGCACCCCAGTAGTTGTCAGGCCGCATAATTTACCCCATTTTCCCTTCTATGCTCCGCCACTCTCCATTTTGCCCCCATGTTGGAGTTCCCTAGCCACCGTCTCTTCACAAACTCATGAAATCCAGTGAATTGACACTGGTTCATCCAACTGCCTGCCCATTTTTGGATGCTCTGTTTAAGTGTTTGTTGCCTCGACAAGACTTATCCGAGAATTCACATACATCTACTAACCTACCTTCCATCCAACATCCAGGGAGTCGCCGCATGCGACGATAAAACTGCCGCTCGAGGTAGGTCGTCCAGACGAGCCATGCGTTAGACCGAAACCAGGTTCGCATTGATTCATGACAGGCGTTAGTGAGGCTGTGCCGTGTCTGAGTGTGGCTTTATCAGCGCTGAAAGGTCATGTGTAGCACACACTGGACGGAAACTCGCGTCGCGTCGCGTCGGCCGCTGCGCTTATTCGCTTCACCAGTGGATCAGAAGGCTCGGAGAGAGCACTTGGTGAAGGGAAAGAGGAAACGGGATCAATCCTGGGGTACCATCCTCGCAATAGTATACTCAGCATTCTTGAAGTTATAACGGCTTGCTGACGACCGTAGCATAGGAGATTGTCAACTGGTCTTCGCGACATTATCACCCACATGAGATCCGAGAAACCATCCTCACTGAGGTCTGACGCATGTGGAGTTTGGGACTGTTTAGCCTTGCCAGTCACCGCTGCCACGCCTAAATTCAGTCATGTCTTACCCCCGCGCTGCATAAGGCTGCCTTGCCATCAGCAAACTCATCTTTAATTTACATCGACCCACGAAGCTGGCAGATGTCTGCATCGATGACGTCCTGGCTATTGATTATGCCCTGTGTTCATCAGTATTGCAATATCAGTTAAGTTAAATTTTCCATTCAAAGGCATAGTTTAGTATGTGAAGGTACATCGAGCTATTCATTCCAATCCCAGCTTCACCGATTTTTCACCGTTGCGGAGCCCAACATCGACGGGTTCGGCTAATCAGTGGGTCCCTCAACATTCTGTGCCTGAGGTTTTAGTCAAAAATAAACTAAAATGGAAGACTGAACTTCAAAAACTGACCAACATGTTTTCTAGAGGACCCTTGGCGTACCCCAGAGAACCTGTTGACGGGCCGAACCATCCGCAGGCATAAAAATGGAAGAAATACATGCACGGGCTTTACTTTGGTTCCTGTTATGATTGTATTATGGAGCAGTTTCAGTTTATTTTATATATTACTGGCTCTGACATTCCACTGAATGAATTCGGCCTATATATTCATATAAACCCTACTGCCCAACTGAAACTGACTTTTTCCGAAGATTCGACATAGATTTATGTGCGCACTCTAAGTTTTGATTTGGTGAGTTTCGCGTGTTTGGAAAAATCTACAACGAGAAGACGACGGATCAGTAGCTCAAAAGTGGAACGTTGAACTACCTAACTCTCAATGGTCGGGGAACACGGACTTGAACCCCCTGGAGTTTGGTTTGGATATCTGACGACGGTAAATGGGCCAGAAGCGGCCACCCCCATATCGCACACCTTTGTCGGCGCCTCCTTCCTCGCATACACTACTAGCTGCTGTGTGGTTGCCTTCGAGGGTTCTAGATTGAACTTCAAGGCGCAACTGGAAGGTCATGTTCTATTACCGAATCGGCGAACGTCCATCTACCATGGTATACTGTGAGACAATGCTGCAGTATCTTCACAAAATGCGGCCCTTTCAAAGCATCGTTTTGGAGTTGCAAATACGTCCGGGGCCTCTGTCAATCTTCTTTGGTTTCTTTCTTTCACCGAAACAGATTTTACTTATTACTTGCGAGGACTTTCTACCCATATTTGCCCTGTTATGACGTCCAGCCGATGCTTTGAAGGTGCCAGCTTCATGGTAGGTGTTTATTTATGCAGGATTTGACCAAATTGCATTTAATTATCCCTTTTTATGGCCTGTTATGATATAACACACGCGTCTAGCATCCCAGTGCTTCTCAACCATCGCTGAGCTTGTGGTACCTGATCGCGATCCACGTTTGGATTTGGAGGAGGTGGAGGTTTAGGTGGTGGTGGTGGTGGAGGAGGAGGAGGAGGAGGAGGAGGAGGAGGAGGAGGAAGAGGAGGAGGAGGAGAGGAACTAGGGGTGGCTGCAAACTCGGCGCGGAAGAGCATAAACTTCCAACGCACATACCATTTGGGCCCACTCAGAGTTGTAAATCATTGTCCAGAGAAAAGCAGCTGCTGTTTAGATTTAATGTTCACAGGCTTCACGCGTCTCTCATAGCACCTAGTTTTGCTCCGAAAACATTTCTGGAAGCGGACTTCACGTGAATTTGGAGCTAGGCGGTGCTGGACGCTCGAGGGAGTATAAGCCACCGCACCCACGCTCGCGTCCGGCCGCCTTGAATTTGTCATGGGAACATCAGTCCATTCCTCACTAATAAGAGGTATGACACGCCTGAATCTCCCACAACGCGCACAGAGTCGTGGATTGGTGGGTTGCCAACTGCCGCGATAACTCGGCTCGCATGGGAGAATTTCGGAGCGGCTGGTGGACTGTGAGACTGCAATGGCCATTTTCCTAATGTGACCTCTGTAGCACTCTCATGCGTGTGAAACTGGAGTCACCTCGTGCTGTGCGAACGAGATGGTGTTTAGCATATGCAGACGGACTGGGCCCGAGCTCACCTCCGGTCGTTTTAAGCATCCCTCTCCTACCATCGATGACATCTGGGTGAGGGAGGAGACAGTACGGTGGATGCAGGGCAAGTCTGTCTCACTGTAAAGTAACTCGCGCGCAAGTCCTCAGTGTCGCGCTCACCCCAAACGGTGCAGGTCATCGCTTGTGACAGTCAAAATGTCGGGTACGGACCTACACCACTGTAGTGTGTTACGCACGCAGACAGGACCACTAGACTATGTCGGCCACCGCTCTCATTCCCCGCACCAGTCAAATGACCGGTTCGGACAATGACTGGGGCCTGGGAATTGGAAGAGGTGGAGTGAGGTCCACGACTCAGCGCACTTCCTCCTCACTTTAAACAATCTGACGCGCCTGAAGCCATCATGGTGCGCTAAAAGTCGTGGCTTGGAAGGCTGCGAACTGGGGGGATAACTTGGACCTCGCAGTCGGTCCAGTGTTGTGTGTGTGTGTGTGTGCTGGTGTGGAGTGCTCGGCGGTTGGTCTGAGAGTCAGGATGCTATAGCTCCTTCTTAATGTGGTCTTTATGCCACTCCCACTTTACGGGATCCGAGTCAGGTGTGGCGGCACGTCTAGATGTGGCTCCGGCCGTGCCAGCCTCCTCTGTTGTTGTTGTTGTTGTTGGTTCAAATCCCGGTCATTTGCTGCGTGGACCAAGGGGTGCGGGTCCGGCCATGCCAGCCACCTACTCCCTCTCCTGTCTCCGGTCTTTTTGACTCTGTCTGGACACCGGGTGCAGGTGGGGTGAGGAGGAGAGAGAGCGTTAGATGCAGCGCAGGTCTACGTCCAGTGGACATCGTCGACAATGATGGCTGAACTATCATACATTCACGCCCCAAACCACCAGGGCAGGACAGAAGATCACTTAAGTAGGGAGGTAGGACTAATTAACGTGCAGGAGAATCCAAAAATATTTCAGTAATGTTAGGATGCAGGCTTTTTAACGAGCTTGTTATCGGCCGTCAGCAAAAACAACTGTGTAAAGTACGAGTTTTTTTCATTGATTTTTGACGTCTTCATAAATTCAATTATATTTTATAAAAAACATGTCTAAAAATATTCTTCCCTGTACTCATTTTGTAGCAAGTGGTGTCGTTTCCAATTTTTTTTACTTGAAGAATGGGTGTCTTTTGATTTAAAAAAACTTCTAACGATGAAAATTTTGAGACTGCCCAATGTCCATTCGTACAGCATCGCATCAGCACTTTTATTAACGTTACAGCCAGGACCACATCCAGTGCACAACTTTGAGTTCTATATGACGTCTTTTCAGCAACGCAAAGAAACGTGTGCTATTCCTTTGGCGGAATGTATGCGGCGTGCAGTTTGAAACCCTGAATGAAATATGTGACGCAGCTGGGACAAGAATTTCTCGGAGATTCAAAAGTTTTTAAAATCCGAGAATTGCTTTTTATCCAAGTAGGAAATTTGAATGAGATGCAATTTGATGCCAAATGAGTAAAAAACGAGAGCATTTTTGTGCGTGTTTTCTATGGAATATAATTGAATTTGTACAGGTAGTGAAAACAAATGAGAAAATTCATACTACTTAAGCAATCACTTTTACGGAGTGTAGTTTTCCAGACGGTCAAAAATAGGCCTATCCAAAACCCGGCATCCTGACGTGGCTGAAATATCTTAGGATTATGCAGTCCGATAATTAAGATTACAACACCGCTTAGGTAGTCTTTTCGAACTTAAAACATTTATTTCAGAATATCGGTTGACATTTCATGAGATAGCACAACTACGCGTCTTTCGTCGATGTCTCCGATGCTGCATGACGCAGCTCTTGTTTTTCTGTTGGTGGCAAGTATGCGATGCCCAGGTAATCACACGAAGAAAGGGGAAGTGTAATTTCTGGGTGGGGATGACCGCCTTACGGCGAGAAAATTGGGGGATTATGTGAGTAAACATGAACAATGCTCGATCAATTAAGACCTCGGACAACACTTACCTCAAGCCTTTGGAGTGCTCTTGAAAGACTTCGAAGAAGTGTTTTGGTCAGTTGGGGCCTCTTGATTCTGAATTTCGGAGATACTGTCCTCAGTGGCCGGAGAGCGTTCTGGCAGAGTGGAGATGTCTACTGCCTCAAAATACTTCTTTAAGCGCATACTGTGTGGATCCATTACAGAGCCATGGTAGACGCAAGTACTTAGGCTGCTTAAATTAAGCATCCAACTTACAGTTGGAACCGGACATTCAGAAGTCGACACGGGCCCTTTTCGGCAGGCAAATTCATCCGGTGTTGCAGTCAACGTATCCTCCGAGGTCAGTGTGAAGTAAACCTCTTTGGCTTTATTGAGGGAGAGATAAGAACCGGGTCGGGAGAACCTATTCAAAAGCAGAACGTTGTCGTCTTCCTGTTGGCTCTGAATGGCAGGGCACTGTTTTGGGGGCGAGTGGACTGACAGAGAACTGGTCACATTCTCCGCAAACACCGCCGCAGACGGCGTGGGTTCTTCCGTTAACAATCGCACCATCCGTTCACCAATTCCAACCTCAGCCGCCTCCCGAAGAGGCTGTGATTGGTTGGGATCGAGCCAAGTCTCCTGAGTCACATAAAACCCACTGGCAGCTTCATCAGTGTTTACTAGACAGCTCTGTGGCGCACGTATGGTGAGCACTCTTTCCTCAGTCTCTTCAAGATCCTGGGCCTGTGGCGTCCGTGTGTTGATGACACTGAGATTGACCAGCGAAAAGGTAGTGGCTGCAGAAGGGCGCTCTTCAAAGGGGGTCCATTCAAGGAGGCATCGCCGATGGGTGCTGCCAACATGATGAGGCAAGAACTTCCTATGAACTGTCTGTTTGAACTGAAGCGCTACGGTGGACTCCGGCGGTTGAGGAAGCAGATTTCGAGGTCCGGGTTTGTCATTATTTTTGGACATGTGTGAGACTAACAGACAACTTGGCGCGTAGATCTACACCTCCGCAGGCGAGAAGGCGGTCTCCCCGGAGTGAAACATATGCGACGTCCTGTGGCAGTATGTGGGATATTAGGTCGTTAGGTAAGGTCAGACATTGGGAGGCCAACGCTTTCAGGGGCAAGCTGTCATCACCCTAATCCTTTTTGACTGTCTAAAAGACACATAAGGGGACATCTGAGATTCACTTTTGGGAATGGAACCTGGCATCTGAGTGAGCAACCATCACCACCATTCAGGCAATCTTCGCAACAAGAAAAGAGAGAAGAAGCCAAACCAAGAATAATACTCTTTATTCTTCGGAAACAACGGGATTGCCGACAGTATAGCCAACAGCAGGAGTTCAAAGGAATTGTTGAACGAGGGTAGAGGATTTGACGGTGGTGCTGAAGTCGGTACAGGGGATGTCCAATGCCATGTAGACCCGTCGATGGACGCGACATCGTCATCTGAAGGGAACCAAAATAAATTCTCGATTTACAAGGGGCGCTTTGGATACTCGTTGGTACCCTGCACAAGTATCCCCACAGACTTGACACCTCTAAGTTTCCTGCATCCCAAAAACTCCCAAGGTTATTTCATGCAAGGTTCATCTGCAGACGTTTGTTAAGCAGAACTTTGCCCGCTTCTGAGCCTTTGCTAAGACACAACTGCAGCTCGAAGTTAGCGCGTTTACCGACTGAGTCCCGGCTACAATAGTCGGAGAATGTAACATTGGCCAACTACACCTTTACCAACAGGGACAGAGGGGACTGAAATGGTCATTTTTAGCTTATTAGCCTTCATCAGCCAGCCATTTCGATCTCGGGTCTTGCGACCCCTGAGACTCAAAGTCGCGACCTGTTGGTTAGAGGTTCACAGTCCTAACTACTGAGCCCTGTGCTCGAGTCACAGGAATTGCAAAACCGGGCGTTGGGTACGGATGGCCGACAACGGCCTGTCAATGTCCTCGCATGCGGTCATGTGACAAAGAGAAGGGAACCCTTAACTACTACTATTCGACTGGTCAGACATGCCTCAACCCTGAGCCGGACAGATGTGGGCATTGGAAGGCGGATTTGGTTAGTTTGAGATCTGACGTTCGAATTCTGCGGACCGGTGTCCAGGCAGTGTAAAACGTTTGTGCGAGACTGTTGTTTATCGATCTGGCCTACCTATAGGATCTGCTGTAGGAGTTACACTCTACAGATCTGGCAGGCGGTAGCATTATCGTGGAAAGTCAATGACACCGGGTGTCACCGACAGAGTCAAAAGCAACTGAAATGACCATTCTCGGTTTTCATACCGTCGTCAGTCCGGCGCAAGCCAATGCCATAGCAAAAAATCTGAAAATTGAAGCCGTACTCAGCTGGTTGGTAGGCAGAAGGCCTGCAATTGAGCAACGAACTCATGTGTCGCCGGATACAATCATGATGATGCGGCATTACTTGGGTGTGACGTCCACCAGTCTGACCTGATTGCGGGATAAGAGCCGTAGAGATCGCGTGTGCCCTTAAGGATAAGAGCTACCAACAGTGACAGAGTCAGTGGGTACTTCTAGCTAGAAAATGTGCAGGCATAAATGCAGTCTTACCTGCCCACGGAGACTTAATGCAGGCTACTGAATTTTGCCGCTGGTACTCAAAATAAATGCTTTCGAAGTATAAGAGGAAGTGCCCTCAATACACCAAATAAGTCAGTAAGTCGCGGCCATCATCAAATGCATTCCTAACTTTAAAATTTGGCAAACAACATTACGGATGAAGAACGGCTCGAATCAGCGTCCATAGTTCAGCAAGGCTTCCTAACAAGAGGGACTCAGAATGCCTTCACGCGGCCCATACGTCACATCGGAAAACATACATAATCTGGTCTGCTCTACCCTGTTACTGTCCGCACGATTCAAGATTCCCTACGACTTAGAAGAGACAAATTCGGAATCGGTGACGACCAAGTTTGTGGCTCCACTTAGAAAAGAGGAGGCAAGAACTCCTGTGATGCGGGAATGGTTGTACGATGGGTTTTGTAGATGGTGTAAACGAAAGTGAGAGATAGCTGTTTTAGGGAAACAAAAGTAAAAAAATACATCCAATCTGCTAGTGTTTTTAAATGCGCCTACCAAAGGTGAAAGCGCGAGCACGCAATTTAAAATACTGGAAATTGGGAGCTGTATGTTGGCGTAAAAATGCTAACCGAGGGCATCAGTAAAATATTACAGATGAATTGATCCCAGTCCGTAAGGACCAGGATGAGTGAAATCAAGAAAGTTAAATTGAGCCTGCCTAAATGATATAAGTAGGTAGTAATAATAGTGTATATAAGTCGGGGCTACATTTCATCATCATCATCTCGGCATATGACAGTCCAGTAAAGAAGGTGCTACGGCCAAGAGGGAGGAGGGACTTTGGTTACCAGGCGATCGTACATTTTCTTAGGTTAAGGGCTGTTCCACATGGGCCTTGGACCTATACCTAGCGGTTACACTAAGCAGTTATCTGGATGCAGAAGTAAATGCGGAATGATTCTGATTTGGCCGGGAGCTAAAGTCTACCAATCCACAGGCGGCCGCATGGTGACAAGCAATTAGAAATCAGAACTGTGCAATGATTTACCGTACTAACAACACAGATATTAACTAAAAGCCCAGACACGCGTGTTTCGCCGATCTTATGCCGCTGCCTGACGCAGTTGCGAGGGGTTCGGCTCGTCAGTGGGTCCCCCCAGCTTTCCCCGTGTTTTTTTCTGGTATATAAACTCCAGTTTCAACTTGTCTTGTTCATGTTTAAAGAAGAAGTAATTTTCTACTAAGTGGGTAGAAATAAGGAGCACTTGTTGCACGTCTTCCATTGAGATGTATTTAAATTTATGGCGATATCGAAAAAGTGGATGTTGAAAGTGCATGTCTCCTGCGTGGCCATTTTTTGCGGAATAAGGCGTATGCAAGCGGTTGATAAGGAGATCGTTCGAAAGAAGGCACCTTGACGCAACTCGAATATCATGGTCTGGTGTCGTATTATTGCAACCCTGCTAAAGCAATCTTCTGGACCTGAAAACACATTTCATAATTTTAATCCACATTTTATGGGCTAACCTATCCACTGCAACACGTCCTGGCGAAAAGAGAGAAAATAAAAACATCTGAATTAGATAGAAACCACTGCTCCTAAGGCTGTTTTCTGACAAATTGCTTTAGCATAGTGTTGCTCGGTCTAGAAAAGTCTTTTTCTGCCAACTTTTTGTAGACCTCGTATGTGTTTTCCTTAAAATAAGTCAGTTACCCAAATATCATTAGACCGTATTAGAATTATTGTCTTCTCTTACGAAACTCGGTGAATATAAAGAGACGTCAGAGGTTTCTCAACGCTTTACGAGGGAAATTGTCAACAAAATAAGCCAGTTAAGCGGGGTATTAGCATACTCAGTAGATTGGTCAACAAATTCGCGTTCACTGAGCCTACGTAAAACCTGAGCATAAGCGCACGAAGCCTCGCCTTCATCTTTGCCGCTGGAGTTCGTCAAGAAAAGGGCTAATCCCTCAGTGGAATTCTTGTAAAAAAGCCCTTAATGGCGACCATTCAAGTGACGTGGCAGCCTGATTGAGGTGAAACCTACAGATGCCAGCTATCTCCCAAGCTTTGTTGCTAAATAGACACAAGCCAGACCTCATAGTCCGCTCAACAAATGGTCTAGCTGTTGAGCCCATAATGGAGAGGAGCAAACAGGGGACCGGAAAATGGTTGACAGTCTGTACAATACTGCCGTGGTAGAGACAAGGTTGCTCCGAGAGCCCAGTAGGTGATAGCACAAACACTCTATCTCAGAACAAACTTGATGTCTTCGTTCCACCCTTTTCGTTCGCTTTCACCTTGCGATCTTAGGTCGGACACCGGGAATAGTATGCAGTGTACTACCGGTGACTTTTAATTAACTTCCATACGGATACCTAGTCACCTGCTCTACCTCAAAACCTAACCTTGGCGCTAAGATTAACCTTAACTACCCCGGCCCTAGACTCAACAATATCGTTGGCACAAACCCCACTCCTAGCCCCCCCCCCCCCCTCCGAAATTTAACGTAAGGCCACTTGGTAATACGGGAGTGGATATGCCCGTTTACTCGTCGGTCAAAAGGTCTATAAGCGTGTGCTAGGCCGGCATCGGCAAACCATGGTCATCGCAGCCTGGTATGCGCTGGCAGTTCCCTGACACCCGGTTCTCTGGCGGTAGATGTGCTCGCGCTCCCGTTGGGTATACAGGTGGTGGGCAGGGCTACCCAGTCATTGTCCTCGTCCCCCTGACCCTGTTAGGGTGTTTTTATTGTTGCTGGCGAAAAATCCTGGTCATTTGCTGTGTGGACCAGGGGGTGTGCAGTGGAACGCCAAGGCGCACACAAGGAACTTTCGTCTACAGTCCCCCGATTGCCCGATGAAATGAAACCAGACGTAGATTCGGCGGCAGGAGAGGAAGCCTTTGCTAATAAAACGTTCAGCGTATTTGTCGAAGCCGAGATGGATGTGATCAAATTGGAAATAACTTTGTCGGAAATTGATGCTGCTGTTGAGTTGTTGCGTTAAAACTAAACGAAGGCCAAACAGGTATGGAGAACGCGATAAACGGAGCCCTTATGCCTGCCCTTGTCGTTCTTCGGTTTGATTAGGGTTTGTGCCGGAAAACTATGAAAGAGAGTGGACAGTAACTAACCTGACTGGCTTTTAGACTATCTGAGTGCTTTGGAGGCCGTTGCTTAAACAAGTTGTGAACCAAGCTGACTCAGTTACTCTCTAAGCCGAGGGCCTGGCGACAGACCATCGGCAGTTCCCATTCCCGCCTTCAGTCGTCTTGTTTCCGTCTTGCCACCGGTTTGTTGTGGATGTGCGAAGCGTGAGTAAAACAGATGCTATGCAATCCCTCCTTACCACGGTCCATTTGCTTCTGCTCAAACGGACTGTACTGTTGTCCTGATAAAATGGAGTTGGGGCCTTGGCATGAGTACAACCTCAGTACGGCATTTCGAAATGAATGGAGGATCCAGAGTTTGACACCAATAACCCCGCCTTTGCGTGGCCTCTAAAGCATTCTCACACATGCGTCAACCGAGTCGTACCCATGGAAACCTGGAATGCGCGCTGGAAATTGGGTTGTGTGTGGCACGCGTAGACAGCCTGCCTCGTTTCACCAGCCGCTGTGTCCGATTCCGCCTCTAATCATCTTAATATTTTCTTGCCAGTGAAATCAGGTGGGCGACAGCAGAGAGAGAGAGTGCCCGTCTCACTCTAGGCAAATTTACACTCAACTCGCCTGTGCTGTGCGCATTCGGCGACGTCCTTGTTCGTGACGATCGAAGTATCGGATCGAGTTCTCACCCGGTGACAACTAACTGAAACAAGAACCAGCAGATGCTCATGGTTCTCAACGCCAAATACGTCATAAGTCTTAGGAGTGAAGAGAGCTTCAAACCTTCACTAAGCTAGGGTGCAGGTTACCGCAATTCTCTTGAAGTGTGTTTCCTCTGCTGTACAGAACTTAAGTTAATGCATTTACGTTCCAGGATTTCAGAAGGATAGTGCATAACCTTTCTATTACCCACAAAAAATGAGAGATGAATAAGTAGTTACTTCCGCCCTCATTTCATTTTCCAATCTCCGGATGAGTTTTCGATACTTGAGGTATTAACGAGAATTCGCCGTCACCTTCTCTCCACTCAACTGCGGGTATTTTGCTCTCATAATGCAGTAACTGCGGCCACATGTTAAAAGTGAATGCTGTTCCTTGCTCGTTCGGGCTACGTAATGTTGCTACCTACGCGCTTTTGGGGGAACCAGATCGTGCGTGGCACGCGTAAACGGTCTGCCTAGCTCTGTCATCCACTTATCCCAATCCAACATCAGTTAACCGACGGTCTTGGGCAGTGGCCTAGTGCATAGTTCTCACTTTGAGCAATCTGACGCTCTTTTAAGCTATTACGGCGGACTAAAAGCCGTGGCTTGGAAGACTGTGCAAAATCGGTTCCCCTCTCAAGACGGAGGGTGGGGCTGCAATAGCTTGTTCTAAATGTGGCTCATATGACAGTTTGACTCAATTAGGATCCAAATCGTCCCCTTTCTTGTTGTGCGCCGACCAGGCATATGTGGCAGGCGCTGAAGAGCTCTTTAGCTCTATCAGCCACTACGCTCGATCTTGCTGCGGTCTTTGTAACTCTGTCTTTATACCGAACTCATGTTGGCGAGGGAGGAGGGAGTGAGTTAGATGCAGAGCAAGTCTTCCGTCACCATTAACCAACTCACGCGCAAGTCGCCGTCCTCGCGCCCACCCTGCTGAGGGGTACACGGCGAGCATCGCCTTAATTGGCGAAAGAGTGAAATCAGTGTGTCAAGAGATATGCTTGTTGAGAATTTCGTCTGTTTCGAAATAGACGCGTATCTACTCTCTTTACCTCCCTCTCTCTCTAGCGCAAGTAATAGGCAAGCTCCGACGTGGCTCTTCAAAAATATTGTGGCTTCTGCACCCATATAAACTGACAGGCTTAGCTATCAAAGAAGAACAAATACCTTGATTAGGAGGACGCCCCTTTAAAGACCGTTGTTTCGCTGCGAGTAACAATTAAATCCACGAGTCATTCTAGTTTTTAAGCACTGGAACAGACTCCTTATGACCGCATTCGAGGACTTCAACTTCGTTCCTCGCCTCAGAGTCCGCCCTGCTGATGCTATAGAGCGCATCCTCAAGGACCTTTTGCAGAGCTTCACATTTTTTCAGGTCAATCTGACCCTCGGCGGTGGAGGATGTTCTGTCAGCCACAATTTTCTCCACAAGGCTTATCAACCCTTCAAAGGCCTTTTTCTGCATTACTTCGTCCTGAGTGGTTCCACCGCTCTTGACGCTCTCCACATACGTACGCAACATATTAGAGCTCATCAGCAGAGACTCCATGAGGGTGATATTGGGGTACAGCTGATTGATGCCCTGTGTTCCCGTACCCAGACTCCAACTGCAGCAACAACTGGCTGAGCAGTGACCAATGATTTCACGTGAACTAGTCGAACTGAATCTGTGTGTCGATCGCGTCTTCTCCTTGTGATGACTTCGATGACGATGGTGTTTGTGCCGTCGGCCGCTCGCTGGTTCTGAATATCCGGTGGGTGGTTTCTGGTAGTCCACGAGTGTTGACTGGTGGGTACTCTCAGCAAGACTTGAGAACTCCGAGTGTTTGCTGCTAAAGGGGTCTGACAGACTACCAAAGTAGTGATTCTCCTGTTGTCCACGTGAGCTATAGGTCTCGGATCGCGCAGGTAGGAAGGCAATGTCTTTCATGCTTGGAGTAAAGAGCCGAGCGACGACACTGTTGGCGCGCGTTTGTGTGCCACCGGCCGAAACACTACCAAAGACATCGCGACTCGCCGGTGTAAAAAGTAGGGAAATCGAGTTTCCTGAAGTGTATCGATGTCGGGCGGACAGGATCTTCTCCTGGGCATCTTGAATAACCTTTTCGGCCAGCACACGACTTGCTCGTCTGCGGGCCGCGTCGTTTTCGGGGAGACCATAACCAGGAATATTAACAAGTCTCGTGACACCCTTGCATACGCAGATGCGTTTCCCTGGGGGAATGCCTCCAGCGATGTCGGCGGCGATAGAACTCAACCTCTCTTCTGCTTTACGGAGGGCCGTACCGGCGATAATCTTACTTTCACGCCTTGCTCCCTCAAAAGCATCCACTTTGACCGAGGACTTGGAATCCATCTTTAGCAAACGGTGTGGCTGAGATGCAACCACGGAAACATCCCTCCTCGCTGGGGTGAACAACCTTGCAGAAGTGACACTACCAGTGGACATGGTAGATGCCTTGGGTGCTCCTTGAAGCGGGCCAGTAAAAACTTCATGACTAGATGGAGTGAATAGTCTGCTGATACTCAGTTGGCCGGGACGTCCCGGCTGCATACTAGCCCTGTATCTCTGCTCCGCTCCCTGGAGAACCTGGGCTGTAAGCAGGCGGCTGGCTCTTCGAGCCTCTTCAGGTGGAACGGCTCCACGGGGGATATCAACGAGTCGGGTGACGCCCTTACACTTGCAAATACGCTTCCCTGGAGGCACAAAATCTATGTCTCCTTCATGAGCAGGACAAGCAGCTGTTAGGGCCTCCACCATTGCAGCGTGTTTTTCACCATCAAAACTAGGTTTGTACTCTACTGAACTCATTGTAGCCTGCGAATCCGACGTTGTCATGCGCTGCAGCGGAGGTCCACGGACAAATTGCGTCTCCATTGGAGCAGGCTGTTTCGCAGGCGCAGTAGAGGCCGTAGTTACTGTTGAGGCCTCTGATATTCCATGGCTGTAGGCGCGGAATTTTTCGTGGCTTGACGGAGTGAAGAGTCGGTTAAAGGTGCTTGGGCTGCGATTCATCCAGCTCGGACTCATGCTGGCCCTATATTTCCGTTCGGCTCCACGAAGAACTTGCGCTGCCAACGCTCGGCTGGCTCTTCGGGTAGGATCCATTCCACCGTCTATCTCGTAGTCGTCTTTTTCACAATGTGCAATAATAGCCCTCAGTTTCGCCGCGTGTTGCTCACCATCAAACACATTGCCGTATCCACCAACCGCGTCGTAACCACCACAAGCAGCCGTGACAGCCAAGAGCTTCATGGAATGCTTTTCCCCATCAAACGGACTAGGTGCTCTAGAACTTCCCGCCTTCGAACCAGTGCTTTCCATGGACCTTGTTGTAACGGTGGTACAGTGAGGGGTGGTATAACCGGAAGCCACTTCTGAACTCGGGCGGATAAAAATCTTTGCGTAGATAGAGGTCTCTGTAGGTTGCGTGTGAGCTTCAGAAGACGCACGGAACATGACTCGACCCTCAGGGTTTAAGAATTGTCCGACTGGGGCTACCTCACGACTTGAAGGTGTAAACACCCTCAGGAACATCTGACTCACCTCATGACCCCGAGAAGTCTCGTCCTGACTTTGTGTTTTTGCGGGTCGACTTGCAAGGCTTTCGAGGAGGCTGCTTTCAGTGGCTCCAATGACTTGTTCTGCTATCAATTGGCCCATAATTCCATGGGAATCATCGACTGCTGGCCCGCCAGAAACCACCCGTTGAGCTTCTTCGATGGCATTTGTGGTAAGCACGTAACTGAGTGTTCTAACCATCTCCGCGTCCTCAGCTGGTTCTGGCTTGCGCGGATACTCACTATTGGCATCCACCGTAACATCGAACACACCGATCCCACCGCCCGAGCGAGTAATATTCATATCCATAGCGTCTTCATTGTGGATAACCTCCCCACCGGGTACTTCAATTTTACCCTGAATATCTACATGTATTGGGGGTGGATTCTCCGGGTTTACGCCGTCCACTTCAATGCTCAGCTTGACATCCTGGTCGTGTTCAAGCTGGCCGTTAGTATTTCCTGACGGATCCGGTGATGAAACAGCTTGCCTGTCGTCAATCGTTAAACTGGCCTTAAAGTTTGACACTCCCCTCATATCTTCAATTTTTATTTTGACATCTTCCTTTTGCGTCCATCCAGGTGGTTGGGAATTCATGTCTAGTAGTTTTACCTTTACAGCTGCTGAGGTTGGAAATTAATCAGTTTTCTTGCAACGAGGCCGTTTTTCAAAGAAAAAGAGAGTTTTCGCGGCACTCGGGAGCCGAAATTCACCGACCTCCCCGTAAAGCCGAAAAATCGATCGCGTGCCTTTAAAACTACCAGCGAACCATCCTGATTGGCAGATAACACGTGTGCGGCCAGGGTGAAAAGCAGACCATCAACGGGCCTCGGATCAGGATCCAGTGGACAGCCATCGGTACAATTAGCGCTCACACAACTTACACAGGATAGCGTGTCCGAGTAAAGTTACTGATTTCAAAATTTTGCCCGGAAAACCAAAAGCCTTGAGGATGGAATAAGAAGAACGCCAATACCAAAAGACCTGCGAGGAAGACAACTTTGGCGCAGAAAACGGCGGTGACTAAATGTAGTCAACTTTACGTATTCAGCGGGATGGACTTACGCGATAACAAATGATACGGGTCCGAGGCATCTGGTTATGAGTCAAGACGGACCTGTGACAGACGCTTCCTCAACACGGAGCGGCGGCGAGGGTTTAAAATTTGCATAAATATCTAAATCGAGTACAGATTGATCATCTTTGATCGTCAGCCCTTATTGACCGTATTGCAAATCGTTACAACGAAAGTTCTCTACCATGTGATTCACAAATCGTTGAACTGATTGCCACGTTCCCATGTTAGTTTAAATCCAGCAAACATACAGTCACATACAGGGTTGGCAGATACTATACTTCATAACTTGAGGCAAAGATTCTTGCTGAACGCACTGAATATCATTTCGCCCAGTTTTACGGACGAGAGAAACGTGAAACATCCTATTTTAGGTGGTTGTCAAACGAATTTCCAGTCACCGACTGAAACGTTTACAACATTCGCATTCCTCGCTGGGTTTCGACGGAAGACGTTTATAGAAAGTGTCATTCAGAAATCCTTTCACCTAGCGAAGGCAGATCAGAACATACCAAGCACTGCGAACCAAAAAAGGAAAAGTTCGGTCGCTTGTTTTCTGTTGCGTTTTTCAGTATACATCGATTGGAGACGAACCTCCCCAACTACCCCATTCCTCTTGACCAACTGATTCATTCAGGCCCTCAGCAACAACGTGATTAAGGTGGAAGAGGACTCTTTACGACTATCTTAGTTGCTTTCCGTTGCTGACCGACTCCAGAGCTCCGTTAAGTTGCACTTAAGCCAAGTGATTTCGGTAAAAAGTAGTTTGGCGCTCTTCAGTAATCAGTTAGTTCAAAATTATGGAGGATGGGAGAAAATGTGTTTACAGCTCGATTTCGATTCTTTCGCCTTCTTCAGACATCGAGAGTGTGTGTGTGCGTGGGTTAGTGCGTCCTCCAAACGGGTCAAGTGGTGGATACGCTGGACCAACACAGCAGCCATATCGGATTCTCGCCGGCGTTATCGCATGGTGCACCATAAGGAATACCAACATTGCGGGATGCGGTGGCAGACCCGGTTGTCGGCAGTCGTCGCGCACACAGGGACCCCTGCGATTCCCCCATTGTTGTTGTTGATCAAAAACCTGGTTATTTGCTGTGCGAACCGGGGAGTTTGGAGTGAAACGCCAAGGTGCAGACCCGACCGTGCCATCCACTTGAACCCTTCACCCACCTCCGGCCTTATTGATTGTGTCTTGGTACCGGGTCCAGGTGGAAAGTGGGGATGGGAGAGCGCAGTATATGCTGCGCAAGTCTGCCATCACTATAAAAGAAATCACGCGCAAGTCACCGTCCCTGCTCCGCCTTGCTGTGGAGCACACGGTAGATATCGTCGAAACCGACGGTCGAACTATTCTGTGGATGATTTCATTACGAAACTTGCCGTCGGTGCTCAGGACTGCAAATACAAAGAGACGCGATGCTCATCCAGGTTATGGTTTTCGGTATTTAGGAGGAGAGGACTCGGAGGACACTCTCGGCCAATAGGGACGACGTAGGTTGGGAAGGGGCCTGTCCTGCTGCACGACAGCTAAAGTCTGAGCCGATATTAGGTGATCTGCCGCTCCGAGCCCCCTACCGGCTGTCAAAGCTTGCCGCCTGTCCCGCTAACACGCCTACACTGCGAAGAGGGTTTACGAGTGTCGAAACCAACAGTAGGTTGGGCGGTTTCATAAAAAGGCTGGGCATCTGGAGAAAGCATGCTTTCCCCCAGAAGAGTTCAGCAGAGGAATGACAAGAGCGAGCGGTCGTCTGCACACAAAAGGATTACCCCGATGGGGGGATGGTATAGTTTTTAGCTGGATCGCAGTTGGTAGCCAGGATTCGGACATTGGATAGATAGGACCAGATATCTTATTTAGTAAGGATCATAGTCAACAGTCATCCTGTTAAGTTTGGGCCTAGATAACGGGTCAACTGTCCACCTGGTGAGCAAATTTGCTTTCTCGAATTCACAGCTACAGCGGCCAATCAGCATCCTCCGAGGCAATAGGGGGGGGGGGGGTGAGCGTGGAGGTAGATGGGGCCTCCACGGCTGAAGTCACGCACAGACGGGAACTTCTGCACTACTCGCTGGTCCATTTGATTGTTGGGAGGCGGAAACAGAGTCGGACAGGGAAATAACGGACCCCCAGTATCGATGGTGAACTCGAGCTTAACCGCAGGGGACACCTATCCCCGTGCCTTAACCTTACTTATAACCTTGCCCCTTCTAATCCTACCTCTAGCCATAATCCCCCCCGCAAGACAGGACAAAGTCACCTGCAATGCCGACGTTCGTATTCCGGTGCTCAGCCGAAACAAGATAAAGTAGATCCCCTCCGTTCACCCTCGTATTCTGCGGGTCGACGCTGTTCATGCGTAACTCACCGTCCGACAGAGACATGACCTATTTCATATTGATCCAACTGTGAAAAACTCGATGCCTCAGTCTGATTCGAGCCCACGACAGTAGGGAGAAGGCTTTAGTACAGCCAACGTCCTAACCACCTCAGTTACGAGGCCCCGCCGGACGACGCGAAAGATGTTCTACAAGATCCAGACAGTCGCTCTGAAGATAGTAAAGGTGCTGCAGAAAACCATCACTATTACACTAGCCTCCTGCTTCCAACGTGGGCAACTCCGATTGTCCATGTTTTGGAATCGAGCCAAATCGTTCGAATTAATGACAATTACAAACCAGCGGTCAATCAAACAATCAAACTAAACACTTTTCCCCCGCCTAGGCTACAGGACTGATATGCTTTCCTGCCCAGCGGCCAGCGATTCTTTACATCCGGTGTGGACCTCGCCTACAACTAGGCGTACCCACTGTCAGTTCCCCGTCGCGGCCTCCTCAGACATAATTTACTGTCATTCGGAGTCAATTCCGCTCCAGACCTGTTTAGTATGTAACTTACAAGATTTATGCGCATTTGTATGACATCCTGGGATCAATAGTTTGAACCTCTAAACTCTAGACACGGTGCTGGCCCGCTCTGAAGAAGCAGGCTTTGCGCTTAAGAAGGAAAGCCGCACCTTCTTAGCCGACTGTGTTGATTATTTAGGCCTCTGGGAGTGTTCGCCCACATGAGAACAGAATCTGAGCTCTCAAGTACATGCCTAGGCTACAAAATATCATTCACTTGCGTGCTTTTATGAGGTTAATAACGCATTAAGACCAGTTCATTCGCCGGCCTGCTGCGATATTGAAACCGTACTATTATTTACTACAGACGTCGGGTCTGCGCCACGCGCGTGCGGAAGATGACGGCTAGAAGACTCTGCACGTAGTTCGGCACCGGCACTCGATCCAGAAGAATCACTCATTTTCAACTGTGACGCTTCGCTATGCGGAGTAGAAGCTGTCCTTCTACATCTAATGTAATGTGGCACCGAAACACCAATCGCGTTTGTCGCCAGAGCAATGTCTCCGCCTGGAAGTAACTAAACAGAGCTAGATCGCAAAGCTTTGATTGTTTCGTTCAGCCGTTATTTCGAAATGACGAGGATTAAGTGTATGCGAGGGGTAAGGAAATGCTAACTGTTGTTTAACAAGTCACCAGCGTTTTGACACCCCTGCATCCCATCCCATGCATCCCATCTAACATATTTCTGGTATTTTTTTGCTATCTGACTGCTCTTTGTGCCGGACCTTTTTTAAAATTGAGCTTCCCTCTAACTAAAGAATTACGTGTAGGGGGGTGCAGAACAATAAAGCAATGTAGGTATTTCAGTAACGTCAAATCCTTGGGGTTGTACAGGTCAGTGAATGTCATTCTGCCGACAGAGGGTCGACCAAAACCTGCTTTTAAAAATGCAGTAGGCAGTTCTCCACAGTTTTCCCTTACCCCGCGCATATACTTAACTCTTACCCGGATCATAAGCCACTTCTTGGAATAGTGGGAGTAAAACACGGGGCTTTGGCAAGTGTCACCCGTCCTGTTCGATTCTCCTTACACCAAAAAATTTGCTTCTGACAACGAACGCTGACGCTCGCAGTAGGTTGCCAATTATCGATGAAACAGTACTCAGCGTAACCCACCATTTAGTCCTTTCCATCTCATAAAAAACGTTGTAACGACACTCATAGATAGTTGCATAATTGGACATTGGACTGTTCGACATTCCAGATTACATCAAGAAAAATAGGTCTGCAAACTGACTGACCTTGTAATGCTCGCCAGAATGCAACTGATCTACAGGGCGGCCATATGTTGTGGGGCCCTCGAGTGGTAGTTGCGCCCTCTAAAACAAACCACGCGGTAGATGCGCCGAACCAGCAAGGGGATGGGATCGGAGTCCGACAAGCGTTATTAGGAACGCGTACCCATAACTAATGCCAGCGTGGGGACGTGGTGACAGGTCCGTTTGCGGGCTCTGACTACGCCAAATTGGATCCGAACCGTCCCTCCTTTCTCCCTTGTGCTGTAAACTTCTGGTCATTGTCAGTTGTGGAGCAGGAAATGCGCTGGTACGCCTAG